GAGGTTGTAACGTAGCAACATGAGGTTGTAACGTAGTAACATGAGGTTGTAACGTAGTGACATGAGGTTGTAACGTAGTAACATGAGGTTGTAACGTAGTGACATGAGGTTGTAACGTAGTAACATGAGGTTGTAACGTAGTGACATGAGGTTGTAACGTAGTAACATGAGGTTGTAACGTAGTGACATGAGGTTGTAACGTAGTAACATGAGGTTGTAACGTAGTGACATGAGGTTGTAACGTAGTGACATGAGGTTGTAACGTAGTATGATTGAGGTTGTAACGTAGTAACATGAGGTTGCAACATAACGTTCTAACAATGTAACTGAACAATGTAACGTAACGTAACATCATGTTTTAACATAACGTAACATCATGTTTAAACATCATGTTTTAACATAACGTTATAACATAACATTGTAACAAAGTTGTGAAGCAGTAACGTTGTAACTGAACATTATGACATAACGTAACATAACGTAGTAACCTAATGTGTTCTCTGTACTGCCCACCAGGGGGCGACTCTGCTGCTCTGGAAGTCAGAATGAGAATACGTGTTCCCTCAGTTAACATTTAAATACGAGTTTGTGGTCTCAAATGTTAAAATAGATCAATGCCCCTCAGAACAGATCAAATATTTTATTGTATGAGACACCAACAAAATACTTTTCTAGTCCTACGCCAGCAAATCATTAGCTTTAAATCTCCTCAAATAAAGCTGTGAATGAGTTTGTTGAGTATGTTTAATGAGACAATAACATTTATTTTAAAAATATCAAATTTGTATTAATAATACTAAAAATATTTTTATAATATTAATAAATAACTATCATAAACCAACATTGATATTACAAAATATTTTAATCAGAAATATTGTAATAAAACAAAACAACAATTACCGTAATAATAATACATTAATAATAATAGTAATAAAATAATAATCACAATCACAATCTAAAATAAGTGAGTGTTGTGGTGGTTCCCAGGTGCAAGTGACAAGAGTCTCAAGGTTTAGGCTTTTTTAAAATAAATAATTCACATGTGAGTGTGTGTGTGTGTGTGTCTCTGTGTGTGAACTCCCTCCAGCTGTTCTTCAGTCTGCACTCTGGCCTGTTAAAGGACTCTACTGATCCTATTAGGACTCAGTTTATACACACACACAATCATTAGAGGGGAAAATTACTAGATTAACACACACACACACACACACACACACACACACACACACGCACAAAGACACCGAAAAGAGGATCCCTCAGCCAAGATAAAGTTAACATTGAAATCCAATACAGTCGCACACAGTAAAAGAGCAGTTGTCATGATGAGAATCCAGCTGTTTTTAGGAAGGCAATCTTCCACATAGTAAGTGTGTATAATATGTTGTGTATATATTGTGTCTGTTTCCATACTGTGATTATCCAGCTGGTGTATTGTTAGTCAGATGAGTACCAAAGATAAATGGTAAATGGACTGTACTTGTACAGCGCTTTTCTAGTCTTCCAACCTCAAAGCGCTACTACATGACATCATTCACCCGTTCACACCCCTTCACACACTGATGACAGGAGAACCACACACAGTGACACCCTGCACATCAGTCACTAACATCCACACACTGTAGTCGCAGCTACAGGAGCATGTTGGTTAAGTGTCTTGCCCAAGGACACATGGACATGCGGGTTAGCCGGCCTGGGATTGAACCGACAACCCTCTGATTGGAGGACGACCTGCTCCCCACTGACCCACAGTCGCCCAAGATGCTGTGGAGACCTGTCAGTCATACATGCGTTTGCTGGTAACAGATTCCACAGAAGGTCCTTTAAGGAGATGCTTTGTTTGTGATTTTGATTTTTAAAAGTAAGACAATAACACAAAATAACAGAACAAACCAGCGACTCCTGCAATGTTTAATCACCGTTTTCTTCAAAGGACTCGAAAAAATGATACGCAGGTGAATAATCAGTAATAATAATCAGTCAGTGGAACTCGAGGAAGAGAAGTCATCAGAGTCCAGATCGTGCTGAGGTGTGAGGAAGAGACGCAGACAGACAGGACGACAGAGACGCAGACAGGCAGGCAGGTAGACAGGTGGAGGTTTGGATGGAGCTGAAGGCGGCGCCTGAGAACACCTCTCCAACAGGAAGTGATCACATGTCACTCCCCGCTGGAGGCACAACACTCAGAACACCCTGTCCTCAGGTGTCTCATTTCTATCTGAGACACACACACACACACACACACACACACACACCGGGCTGATACTGTATTTGAGAGCTTCCGGCTCAGTGACCTTGTCTGTAAATGTCTGCTGCCTGTGAACTAAAGTGGATGTTGTGTTTAATCAAAGGTTCATCTCTGAGACGTCAGCTCTGATGATTCCACACCAAACACTATCTATACACACATACACAAACATATATATATATATATATATATATATAATTGGTGAATGGGTGAATGTTGGGTGCTGTCTGTGTGTGTAGCTCCTGTCATCAGTGTGTGAACGGCTGAACACAGAGCGCAGAGCACAAGCACGAGTACAGTCCATGATATCACAGTAAAACCTTGAATTAATCGACCAACACTCAGAAGTTGTTTTTTCTGCTCCAATCATCTGCACGTAGAAACATAAACGGACTGAGCTGAGTGAGAATAAAAGCTGTTAATAGATTGGAGTCCACGCTGTGGGATTGTTCAAAGTGTTCATGTCTGATCCAGGATCAGGCTCCCATAACATCTTGCATAATGTATCAAAAGTAATTTCCTTCATCCAGACTGCCAGTCTGAACTTATGACTTGTGTTTAATTAAATCTGGGTGGACGACTTGTACAAGATAAATAAGTGTTTACAGGCTGCCGGCTTGTTTGCACCGAGTCGAACAAACACATTCAACATTTAGAGAATTGAGACAAATATCGGACTGAAAACTCACCGATTCGCATTCTACATTCACGTCATCCAAGAAATAACCGCCATCTTTCTGTCCATCCTTTTCTTCATGTCTTTCTTTGCTTCCTTTGTTTCATTGCCATGCTTAAATTATAGAGAGAAAACGGAATCATTACAATGAATAAAAAAGCAAAATGTATCACAAAAACATTGGTAAAACACACATTTTTCATATCCCATAGAAGTCCCCCCCCCCCCCCCCCCCCACGCAGCTAAATTAATAAATAATAAATAAACTGCAAATCAATTCCACGCTCAGCAGATTCCTCCCAGTTGTGTTTTCCAAATGAAGTGTCTGCATGGGTGCAAAAAAGGGTGTTGGGGGGGGAGGGGGAGCGTCTGCGAGGTAAATGGTTTATTTTGGCCAGTAAATGACATTTATGCAAATACCTCGAGGAAAGACTGCTGACGGAGGAGTGCAGCGCGGTTTAAATGGCCAGATTAGTTTCCAGCTATAACTGCGGCTGAGCAGACCTGCTGATACACGGGTCCAAGTTCAAGAGGAAAGCCCCCCCCAACAGGTGAGCCACGAGGTCCAAAAGGAAAGCCCCCCCCCCAACAGGTGAGCCACGAGGTCCAAGAGGAAAGCCCCCCCCCAACAGGTGAGCCACGAGGTCCAAAAGGAAAGCCCCCCCCCAACAGGTGAGCCACGAGGTCCAAGAGGAAAGCCCCCCCCAACAGGTGAGCCACGAGGTCCAAGAGGAAAGCCCCCCCCAACAGGTGAGCCACGAGGT